CAGGTTGGGTGCATGAGACAAGTGCTCGGGCCTGGTGCACTGGGAAGACCCAGAGGGATCGGGTGGAGAGGGAGGTGGGAGGGGGGACTGGGATGGGGAACACATGTAAATCCATGGCTAATTCATATCAATGTATAACAAAAACTACTGTAATGATGTAAAGTAATTAGCCTCCAACTAATAAAAATTAAAAAAAAAAAAAGAAAATGACCAAAAATAAATAAATAAATAAATCTAGGTGTGGGGATGGACATGGGTACCCTGTACTTTCACTTTCCCATTGTCTGAACTTTTTGAAAATAAAGATCAAAATTCAAATTGTAGAAAAGATATATTTGTACATTATTAATTTTACAAAATCACTTACTATTGGGTTTATTTAAATAGCAAGTACTATCAGAGTATTCTAAATAACAGGTTTTTATAGTTAAATTAAGCTTCTGAGATGGCATTAGCGATAAAGAACCTGCCTGCTAGTGCAGTAAAGGCAAGAGATGGTTAGGAAGATCCCCTGGAGAAGGGCATGGCAACCGACTCCAGCACTGACTGGAGAATCCCATAGACAGAGGAGCTGGCAGGCAATAGTCCATGGAGTCACAAAGAGTTCGACATGACTGAAACGACTTAGCATGCATGCATGTTCTCATGGATAATTTGATTACAAATAACTCTGCATTCAGATGGGTATATCTTTCCTTTTCTCCTTAGCCTTTTGCTTTTCTTCTTTTCTCAGCTATTTGTAAGACCTCCTTAGACAATCGTTTTGCCCATCTGAATGCAGAGTTCTAAAGAATAGCAAGGAGAGATAAGAAAGCCTTCCTAAGTGAACACTGCAAAGAAACAGAAGAAAACAATAGAACGGGAAAAACTAGAGATCTCTTCAAGAAAATTAGATACCAAGGGAACATTTCATGCAAAGATGAGCTCAATAAAGGACAGAAATGGTATGAACCTAATAAAAGCAGAAGATACTAAGAAGAGGTGGCAAGAATACACAGAAGAACTATACAAAAAAGGTTTTAATGACCCAGATAACCACGATGGATGGTGTGATCACTTGCCTAGAGCCAGACATCCTGGAATGTGAAGTCAAGTGGGCCTTAGAAAGAATCACTATGAACAAAGCTAGTGGAGGTGATGGAATTCCAGTTGAGCTATTTCAAATCCTAAAAGATAAGGCTGTTAAAGTGCTCCATTCAATATGTCAGCAAATTTGGAAAACTCAGCAGTGGCCACAGGACTGGAAAAGGTCAGTTTTCATTCCAATCCCAAAGAAAAGCAATGCCAAAGAATGCTCAAACTACCACACAATTGCACTCATCTCACACACTAGCAAAGGTAATGCTCAAAATTTTCCAAGTCAGGCTTCAACAGTATGTGAACCTTGAACTTTCAGATGTTCAAGCTGGATTTAGAAAAGGCCAACATCTGGTGGATTATAGAAAAAGTTAAGAGAATTTCAGAAAAACATCTACTTCTGCTTCATTGACTACACTAAAGCCTTTGACTGTGTGGATCACAACAAACTGGAAAATTCTTAAAGAGATGAGAATACCAGACCACCTGACCTGCCTCCTGAGAAACCTGTATGCAGGTCAAGAAGCAACAGTTAGAACAGAACATGGAACAACAGACTGGTTTCAGATTGGGAAAGGAGTATGTCAAGGCTGTATATTATCACCCTGCTTATTTAACTTCTGTGCAGAGTACATCATGTAAAATGCGGGCTAGATGAAGCTAAGCTGGAATCAAGATTTCCAGAAGAAATATCAATAACCTCAGATATACAGATGATACCACCCTTACAGCAGAAAGTGAAGAAGAAATAAAGAGCCTCTTGATCAAAGAGGAGAGTAAAAAAATTGGCTTAAAACTTTTTTAAGTGTTCTTAAAACTTCAGAAAACTAAGATCATGGCATATAGTCCCACCACTTCATGGCAAATAGAGGGGGAAACAATGGAACAGTAACAGACCTCATTTTCTTTGGCTCCAAAATCATTGCAGATGATGACTGCAGCTGTGAAATTAAAAGACACTTGTTCCTTGGAAGAAAAGCTATGACCAACCTAGACAGCATATTTAAAAGCAGAGACATTACTTTGCTGACAAAGGTCCGTCTAGTCAAAGCTATGGTTTTTCCAGTAGTCATGGATGGATATGAGAGTTGGACCATAAAAAAGGCTGAGGGCTGAAAGATTGATGCTTTTGAATTATGGTGTTGGAGAAGACTCTTGAGAGTCCCTTGAACTGCACGGAGGTCAAACCAGTCAATACTAAAGGAAATCTATCCCTAATATTCATTGGAAGGACTGATGCTGAAGCTCCAATACTTTGGCCACCTGATGCGAAGAGTTGACTCATTGGAAAAGACCCTGATGCTGGGAAAGATTGAAGGCAGGAGGAGAAGGGGACGACAGAGTATGAGATGGTTGGATGGCATCACTGACTCAATGAACAGGAGTTTGTGCAAGCTCTGGAAGATGGAGAATGACAGGGAAGCCTGGTGTGCTATAGTCCATGGGGTCCCAAAGAATTGGACATGACTGACTGAGTGAACAAGAACAACAAATAAGTCTAAAGGGACTCTCATATTAGCAAGTTCATTTGTATTAACATTTCTGTCTTCTCTCAGAAATTATTTTTTGCAGCTCTTCCTTTTTTATCCTCACCTTAACTTAGACTCCATTTACTTAGATGCAGCCATTGCAGTTAAGTCTACAGAAGATACCTTAACTCAAGTAGAAGTAAAATTTATCCTTGAAGAACCACAAGCAAACAAGACTAAAGAGAACCAAACAAAATTCATTGCAGATAATTCTGTGCCAAAGCCTCTCAAAGGCCACCTGGACTACCCACTTCCCCCAGGAAGCCTCACTTCACACTCAACAGCTTTGAACCACCCACTTCCAGCAAACAACAGTCTGAGTGACTCTCAAAACTCAAAAGGGCTTATCAAACCATAGCTAAAGCATCTCTACCTCCTAGTTAAGATAGTTGAAGCCCTTCTTGGTAATGTAGTCCTCTACCAGCCCTTAATAAACCACTTCTAATCAAAGACACTTTGTTCACAAAGGCAAAATTTTTTTTCAGCCTGTGATTTTTTTTTTTTTGGTAAATTCTGCATCCAAAGACTATGTGTTAGAAGAGCTACTCTTAGAGAACAGCTCGTCTTGAAAACCACCTGTTAATTCTTGAGATAAATCCTCAGGTTAATAGGACACCCCAAATAAACAGAAATCACAGCAAACAGCACACTTGCCTCTCTCTCAGCTTCTTTCAGGATGGCTTCTTTCTCCTTCACACGCTGCACAAATAGCTGCTTCATCTCTTCTTCCTTCCTCTGGCGCTCACCATAGAACTCATGTCTCTTGGCTTCGTAGGTCTCCTGAAGACTGAAAAGTTATTTGTGTTACTCTCATGTTAACAAGATGACATAGAAACCTGCAAACATTCAAACTTCCAGGTTAGGCCTCATGACTGTCACAGCGTGTGTGCCTCCAGGGAGCCGCGGGCAGGGAGAGCCCACCTCCTTCAAGGAGCGCAGGTCTGTCTGTGGGTCCCTGCTATGCCAGCACTCCCAGAAGTGCTCGTTTCACCCCACACGGGTTCCTTTATCCACCTCTCTGGACTCCTCCCCTCTATTCATTACCATGTCTGATCACCAGGGTCTGGGAGTTCAGCCTGGGACCCCAACATCATCTCAGTCCAGGCTTGTTTTGATTTCTCCAGACACATTGTATTCAGCCCAACTTGATCTTTGAGCTTTTCTGCCTTCACTGTTGCAAAAATCTAATTGAATTCTAGGATTTGAGTTCATCTTTCTTTGATTTTGTTCTTCCTGCTACTCCTCAGATTTTTCCACCAAAAACAGAGATCTCTTTTATCTTTTCCTTCTGCATTAGTTATATTATCTCTAAAACGAGAGCACCTTAGAAACTGCAGAATCCTGTAAACAGACCTCTCCTCCTCAGGTTTCAGGCACACATCTCTTGCTCCAGCCACTGCCTGCTGCCCTGCCCTCACTCTGCCCCAAAGTCCTATACCTCCAGGAATCTGCCTCTCGTCTCCCCGGTGGAATCCCCTGTTCCCTCCATGCACTTCCATGGCTTTTTGTTTATACCTCTTCCTGGGCATTTCCACCCCAACTGCATCTCTCTTCCACCAGCTCAGCATCTTTGTAATCCAGCTGTCCAGCAGAGCTCTCTGACACTGCAGTTTCTTCATAAATGTTCATCTAATGACAGAGACTGCAGGGAAGTAGGGCCAGTGTAGCCCACAGAGCAGGGACTTGGTGGAATTCCATGACAAGCACCTCTCTTACCTGTGGAATTTCAGAGGAACCACAGACCTCCTCACATGCAGAAGCGCTGAGCCCTTCCATCACAGCTCACTGAGAGGACGTCCCAGCATTTAACAGGGAATACAATAAATTGGCTTTCCAGGTGTGTCATGATTTAGAAATTTCTACTGCTTATAAAAATACTTTATAGCTAAATAGATTTAAAATGTGATAAAATTTAAGAATTTTACTAATCTTGTTTAACCAGAGAAATAAATCTTTTATGGATAGAACTTTATACATTTAAAGAAAATTGGTCAGTTTTCATTCCAATCCCAAAGGCAAAGGCAAAGACTGTTCAAACTACTGCACAATTAATTGCACTCATTTCACACGCTAGCAAAGTAATCCTCAAAATTCTCCAAGGCAGGCTTCAACAGTACGTGAACTGTGAACTTCCAGATGTTCAAGCTGGATTTAGAAAAGGCAGAGGAACCAGAGACCAAATTGCCAACATCTGTTGGATCATCAAAAAACCAAGACAGTTCCAGAAAAACATACTTCTTCTTTACTGATTATGCCGAAGCCTTTGACTATGTGGATCACAACACACTGTGGAAAATTCTTCAAGAAATGGGACTACCAGACCACCTTATCTGCCTCCTGAGAAATCTGTATGCAGGTCAAGAAGCAACAGTTAGAATTGGACAAGGAACAATGGACTATTTCCAGATTGGGAAAGGAATATGTCAAGGCTGTATTGTCACCCTGCTTATTTAACTTATTTGCAGAGTACATCATGCAAAATGCCAGGCTGGATGAAGCACAAGCTGGAATCAAGATTTCCGGGAGAAATATCAATAACCTCAGATATGCAGATGACACTACCCTTATGGCAGAAAGTGAAGAAGAACTAAAGAGCCTCTTGAGGAAAGTGAAAGAGGAGAGTGAAAAAGTTGGCTTAAAACTCAACATTCAGAAAACTAAGATCATGGCATACAGTCCCATCACTTCATGACAAACAGATGGGAAAACAATGGAAACAGAAATTTATTTTGGGGGGTTCCAAAACCACTGCAGATGGTGACTGCAGCCATGAAATTAAAAGACCCTTGCTCCTTGGAAGAAAAGCTATGACCAACATAGACAGCATATTAAAAAGCAGAGACATTACTTAGCCAACAAAGGTCTGTCTACTCAAAGCTATGATTTTTCCAGTAGTCATGTATGGATGTGAGAATTGGACCATAAAGAAAGCTGAGCACTGAAGAATGGATGCTTTTGAACTGTGGTGTTGGAGAAGACTCTTGAGAGTCCCTTGGACTGCAAGGAGATCAAACCAGTCCATCCTAAAGGAAATCAGTCCTGAATATTCACTGGAAGGACTGATGCTGAAGCTGAAACTCCAATACTTCGGCCACCTGATGAGAAGAATTGACTCACTGGAAAACACCCTGATGCTGGGAAAGATTGAAGGCAGGAGGAGAAGGGGACTACAGAGGATGAGACGGTTGGACGGTATCACTGACTCAATGGACGTGAGTTTGAGCAAGGTCTGGGAGCTGGTGATGGACAGGGAAGTCTGGCATGCTGCAGTCCATGGGGTCACAAAGAGTTGGACACGACTGAGCAACTGAACTGAAGGAAAATCAGAGTAAGAAATGTTACACATTAGCTCTTACAGCTGAGCATGAGTGTGTGGTACTTAACAGCATGTGTTCCAAGGAGGAACAATCCTATACGTTGTCTTTAGGAGTAAAGTTTATAAATATACACAGTGTTCTAGATGATCACATTAATGCCTCTGGTCTCAAGGAGGCATCCTATTTCTTACAAGGTTTTTTTGTTTGTTTTTTTTCTGTGTTTGTTTTGGTCTTATTTTAAAGAAGCCTCTAAATCAGTCATGCCACCTTCACTCACATTTCAGTGGTCCTACACTGGACTGATAGCTTTTAAAGACACAACTTGGTTTAAATAATGTATCTAAATCATGTCAAATCTAACTTTTAAAAGGTTCTCAGAAATTTATTTACACAAGCCCTTGAATTGTTCAGGAAGAAAGTCAAGCCACCTGACAAAGAGAAAAGACCAGACACTTAGAGAAGAGCTGCTGCCGGCAGGGACTGGTCTGGACTCTCACTAATCCCTGTGCACCTTGAAGAACAAGTACCAACACTGTCAGGGTTAGTGTGCTGATGCTCAGAGTAAGGTCATCTGCCCAGAGGGACAGAGTTAGCAAGGACAGAGCTGGAGCTGGAACCTGGTCAGACTTGCTCCAAGGCCCACATTCTTAACCCCAATAAAGCCTGCCTAAAATGATGCCTCAGCAGAAAGTAAAGGGAAGCACTGCTCTGGTGTGCTCTCCATCTGTCACACGTGCCCACTGTGACATGGAAGCTTACAGAGCCAACTGCAAGGAAAGAACCACACTGTCTTTCAAAAGGTGGTAACGAAACCCTGAGAGGATCTGCAAGGATGGTTTATACAGTTAGTGTTGTGAAACTTATGCAACCACTGTTGACTGCCATGGACTGGAGAATGAAAAATAGCTCTCTTGCTGCTGTATTTAATGTGGCATATATGCTAGTTGCTACATTACTGATTTAAGGCAAAGCTGAAAACCAAAGAAGAAAAAACATCCTAGGTGCTTGCATCTGTCAGGAAAACCACTGCATCCCTCTCTTGGGACCTCATCCATGAGCTCAGGGTCCAGCTCTCCCAGGACTGCTGAGTGCCCCCACTTCTGCTGCAGGCCAAACACAGAATGGGAACTTCTTCTTGAGAGTTCCAAAGAAACAAAGTGTATAACACAAAAATTTTGCCAGACACTTAAGGAACTCTAAAATACCACACAAATCGACCTTCCAAACTCTAGAGCAATGATGATCAACAAGACTGTTATGTTCATCTAAAGTAGCTTAGGGATTTGAGGTTTATAAAGGCACATTTCATATAGTTTAAATAATTAAAGATCAGTTAATTAAGACCTCAAGGGTACACACAATGTCATTACCCGAACCTCATGACAAACACGAGACTGGCGTGGGTAGACTGGGACATGAATCACAACTCCACACAACCAGTCAGTGAAAGGAAATGAAGATACTTCAGGGAGGAAGCTGGGCCGTAAAGAGAAGAGGTCATCCAGACAGCTCATTTTTCTAGTTGATACAGTATCGAGGGACAGATTTTACATGCCAACCAAATTATAGTGACTGCTATTGCACACACACCAAGTAAATGGGAAGATTCCCCAAAAGATGGAATAGAAGTTCTTGAAACCACACTCCTGAAACCTCCCTAAGACCTCAGACTAGAAAGAATGACAGAAGTTTTATCAAACAGTGTATCCACAAATGAGAAAGCATGAAGAGGAGAGAGACTGTGCATGCCTGGCCCAGGGAATCTCGTCTTGTCAGGACTGCAGGCCAGGGCAGGGTAGAGGCCCACCAGCTCCTGGGCAGCAGGCAGGCACCCTCCTCCTCTGAGTGGAGTCTTTATCCTTCCTGATTCTGCCATCCATCCTCTTCTAGCAGCCTGCAGCCACTGCTCTTGCCCTCTCCCTTGCTATCCACTGAAGAGCCTCCTTTCCCATTCTCTACCTGTCCAGTGGACAGATGCTCCTCAAACTGAAGAAATACTAAAAGAATGGCTGTTCACCTTGCCTGCGCACCACATGTCTCCTGTCGTATTGCTATTCTACTTGTCCCCACAGGAGACATCTTGCTGGGACAGCCAGTCAGGCTCACACCCACCCTGCCAAGACATGCGTACATGTCCTAAGTTGGGCCCATTAGACATCCCACTTTCCTGGAAGAAAGACTGGAAATAGTCTGTTCATTCTTCCACTCCAGCAGTAGAATGAAACTGCTGGTTTTCTCCCTTTGAACCTGCAAGGCCTGGCCAGCACCGTACTTGTGACTGACATGGCCTGCTCTTCTGAGAATGGCAAAGGAAGAGACTCGACTATATCACACTGTTGTACAGCCACAGCACAACCTGGTCCCCCTCAACATGGCCCACCTCTCCCTTCCTGAGTCCTATTAACTTCACCTTCCAGTTCCACTGGAAGGGGTAAATACGCATCTGACCACCCTCCTCCCCACACCACTACCAAGCCCCTGTGTTTGTGCCTGGATGCCCATAGCAGCCTCCCGCCTGGGTGTCCTCATGCCCAGCTTCTGCTCATTATAACAGGGCAGGAGCGTCCTCCTCCCGCCCCACCCTGGGGCCCTCTATCCCATGGTAGAGGGCCCTCCATCCCATGGTGCACATCTACCCACTGACCAGCAGGACGTACCTGGAGTGGATGGGGATTTTAACTTAAATGTGATTCTTAGGCTCCATACCCAGAAATTCCGAGCCTGCATTTCTACATCACCCACAGGTAACTGATGACTGATCTATCCCTCTTCTCCTTCATGCACATGGAGGCCCCTGTGTAACCTGAGACTTGGAAGAATGAGAAATGAAGCCTCCTCTGGGAAACACTAGGGATGCCAGTGCTGGACAATTTCTCTTCAGCAGAGAAAATCACTTTACTAGAACCAGTCTGTTATAGCACACCCAAAATTGGTGAGGAGGGTGAGGTATATAGAACTCTTAGTTTATTACGCTGCCAGAGCTAAAACACTCATTAATCTGTAGAACGGGAAAGTTCAGCCTCACCTGATGCTAAACCTTCCCGAAGGCCACGTGCAGTGGAGTGGCAGCTGGCCCCAGGGCTCCCCCTCCCAGGGTGTTTGCTCTGGGGCAGACATGACACCAGGGAGGGGCTGCCAAGGAACTCTTGGTCCCACGGCAGCTTTCAAGCAGTGCTGGTCCCGAGCAGAATTGTCAGGAATGTGACATAAAAGTAAACCTGACTTAGCACGTTTGCATAATTTAATTTAAAAAAAGACCTCAGGAGTGTAGCAGCATATAAAATAACAAAAGAAGTTCCAACAACACTTCATGCTCTAACCATTGAGCCAGTTACAGTTCCTGTAACTTATGGTAATATCTCTAGCCTAACCTCTGACTCCTCACAAAAATGTTCATGCTTCCTTTATAAGAAATTTTCCTACATTTAGTTATTCCAGAACTTCCAGCAGGATGAAAGACTACAGCTTCCTAGTTTATTTAATGATTCATATTCCAACTTTTAAAATAATAATATACTTTCATTTTTTTCATATAAATACAAAATTAAAATCAAATAATGAGAGCTTTTTCCTTTGGTTACTCATTTCAGCAGGTACTGAAATCCTGAGATTTCTACCCTGTGTTCTCCCTTCTACTTAATTCCCTGAGTCGGATGAGGACTTGGAGACCTCCAAGAGCAAGAAGCCTTCCAGTGATTCAAGCAGCATAGAAAGCGTGATAATAAATCATTATCAAGTGGTCTTTCACGGTGTGGGAGATTCTCCCATCATCCTGGACAGATAAAGAGGTACCGTCCTCCCCTCCACCCCCTCCTCCCGTGGCTGGCTGCTCACCTGAGTGGCTGGTTCTCTGGGCCCACGTCCATGAAGCCCATCTCCTCCAGCTTGCGGCGCCGGTACAGCTCATAATGCCTTGTGTGGGTCTGGTCTCGAAGATCCTCCATGTTTGTACAAATGAGCATCTCCCGGAGCTTGACAAAGTCGCAGTGGTTTTCATTCTCCACTAGCCAGAGAAATAGAAAATACCAAGAGTGACTTTCAATCCTGACACACAATTGGTATTTCTTGAATGGATGAGTAAATGCAAACATATTTGAAATAAGCAACAGCAAAATGATCAGTCTGACTAAGAGCTATGGCTGTTTCACCCAAGTAGCCAAGGAAGCACTTCTTGTATCACACACACCAATTTACAGTTAGTGCTCATTAACAAACCAGAGCACTGGCTTAAATTTGGTAGCCAAGGGAAACAGGAAAGAAATATATTCTATCTGGTACCATATGCTCCACTAATTTCACTAATATTTTGTTACCAGTTTATAAACCATCCTCAGGACATTTCACATACCACTTGAGAAGAGTATGTAACATTTTTTCACTAAAACTTCAAGGTGGTAAATTCTGCATACTCAACACCATCTGTGCCTGCTGTGATTATCAAATCCTTGTCCAACATGATGCCACATTTGTGGTCCTGAGTCAGGTACCTAATTGTGATCAATAGTTGTAAATACAATTACCTTTATATTTTCTAAACATTAAAAATGTTAAGTTTTGTCAATATTTTCCACTAATTAAAAAATTTGTCAATTAAAAAAAACAGCACTGAGAAACCAGTATCAGCAGGGGTAATCTATTCCCCATTAGTTAGTACCATGAGTGAATGAACCAGACAGTTAATTTCATACTCATTGTAATGTTAGATACATGCTAAAAATCTTCATTTGGCTGACTGGGAAATAGTTGGCAATATTTTGATAAGTAAAAATATATAAATTTATAAGGAAGTTTATTGTGTTCCAGAATTATCTAGTAATTAATTTATGTACTATGTTTAAACAATACTATTTACACTCAAATTCTGTTCAAAGTACCCAACTAGTGATTCCCACCTTCTGAGTGTCTTAGCACACCTTGACAGGTAACTAACTGGTTTAACGCAGGAAGTGGGGAGGCTCTATTTGGCTTTGCAGATGTGGCTAAAACAGAACACAGCCAGCCCTTCTGACAGCTAATCAGAACCCAAAATAAGCACTGCCTCAGAGGATGCACTAAATGCAGCTTTTAGACTGTCAGGCAAGCACACATGTCCTCATAGATCTCCTTTACCTTGTACGATGCCCCAGGGATACTGGCGAGCTTTGACCATCTTATTTCCAACTTTCACTTCATCCATACTTCCCACCACAGCAAATGGCAGGTGTCCCTGGAAAGGAGCCAGCATATCAATCACATCTCATACCAATGACAACAGAGAAAAGGACATTTACTAAATGACAAGTGTGTTAAAGTCAAATGGTCTGCTGTGCCTTAGCTTTTAAAACCTGCCCTGTGAATACATGCCAGCTGTTCTACGGTCATCCTCAGGCCCTACAGAGAAAAATAGTTACTGAGAATGTCCCACATGCATTCCAACTTTGCTATAAGTATACAAAAAAAAGAATTCTAGCACAGATATCATTTACCTCATGGTCTTGGATATAAAAGACAATGTTGAAGAAATCACATACACACCATATAACTAAAGTATATAACTATATTTAGGGTATACCTACATATATAACACCAATATCAAGTATTTAAGTCCCAAACTATGCTAACTACAAATGTTACAGAAATTTAAAGGAGTGAGAGATCTCTGTGATAGGAAGACACAACCAAGCTGGAGACAGAACAAGCAGAATAAGAAGAAATAGCAAAGCAAGAAGATGATTGTGAAAAAAGACACAGTGGCTGGATTTAATGGCAGTGAGGAGATTGTCCTGTCGGACACTGAGAATTAATTTAGGGAAAAATCTAATGTAAACAGTATATGTTTAATATTTAATGATTGACAATGTGTATTCTCTTAATTATTACCCTCTGAAAACTTATTCCAGGTGGGCACACACACAAAAAATCATATATAAAGGGTTTAACACACAGGGATTAATATCACTTCCTTTACATAAGTCAGCTTTTTATGTATTTAGTTTAAGTATCTTAATATGGACAAAGTGTGAAAAAATCAGAAAAGGAAAAGAGGAGAAATGGAATGAACAGGTACTGAATGTCACTGCCAAGCAGTGAACAAAGCTGTCTCCTCACAACAGTGAGCCCTGTTTTATAGGTAAGTTAACAGTCTCAGGAAAATGGGAAGCCCCATTTTATAGGTAAGTTAACAGTCTCAGTGAGGTTAGGAAGTTCCACAAGAACTCTAAAACCTTTGATCCATCAAAATCCAACCAAGTATTTAAGAAATTGGTAGCCTGAAGTAACACAGAGGACTTAGCCATCTTTAATCATGCTGTTATGTATAATTAAAATATACACTAAATATATTCTATATTAAAACACAAAAGTTATGTGAGTATTTCACATGTACTTGTGACACTGTAAGGGAGGAGCTTAAATCCAGATTAGAAAGCTCCCTGTAAAGTCTCTCAAGAGGGAGGCTGTGCCATCTTCTGTCCTTAAAGACAGGACAGAAAGGACTCTTACTAAGGAAATAAAAAATGGTCCCACAGAAGGAGAATCCCATTCTCACAAATGTATCACTTCATTTAGGTGAAAGTAGGGAGGGAAGAAAAATGCTCACATATGTAGTAGCAATGTTACTTTTTTCGTATATAAAACAGAATGATTCAGTTAAGAGCTTACATTCATTGAAGCATTGATCTTAGCAATAGTTTCATCATCTGTTGGGAAATGGTATATCTGAACACCATTGCTGACCAGTTCACTCATGAGCTTGATTTTAAACTTCTGTAATTCAGTTTTAGAAATTGCATCTGCTTTGGCAATCACTGGTATAATGTTCACCTATTAAGAATAAAGAAAAACAAAAATCTCATGATCGAGGATATATTTTTTAATAACAAAGTTTCTGAATTCAAAACCACTCTGACAGATTTCCTTAGGACAGGCAAACTATGGTCCACTCATTGCCTGTTTACATAGGTAAAGAGTTCCTGAAACACGGCCAAGCCCACTCATTATACATCATGTATTTCCTGTGATCATTTTCATTCTGTAACAGCAGAAGTAGGCCTGGCCCTTCAAGGGAAAAGCTTGAAGGCTCCTGATGTAGAAATCACTGCTTCATTCTTACAGACAGCCCTACACAGCCATTCCTGCAAATGCTGGGCTGGTAATAACTGCTTTTCAGAAGCAGAGCTCTTACAAAGTTCATTTTTCATCTGAAGTCAGGTTCAGAAATCTCACATTTCCCCCTCTGTCTCTTACAATTCCATCATACACAAAATAAGTAGAATGTAAGAGATGAGCTGAAATCACCTGCATAATTCACAAAGAATTTTTATCTGTTAATAATCTCAGCACTAAGTAATCTGGTGACTGATTTCAGCAGACCTATGGGTCAGGCCACAGGCCTCCTCTGCCTCTCACTGAAGCAAGCCCCTTTTCAACAGTGAATGCATCTGATCTGACCCAACTGTCAGAATCTTACCCATAGGTTGACAGAGGGAAATTTTATGGATACCAACTAAAAACATTCACAACTCAAAGGAATTAGTTTTTCAGCATTATTTAAAAGTCCTGTCACTGGCCAGAGTGGAAGAGATGTGGGGACATGAAGACTAACCTGCAAGGCTAGTTCTGTGAGATTTTTAAAAAATATTTATTTATATTTATTTATTTGGCTGTGCTGGGTCCGAGTTGTGGCTTGTGGGATCTTCAGTCTTCATTGGGGCATGCAGGATCTAGTTCCCTGACTAGGGATTGAACCTGGGCCCCCTGCATTAGGAGCACAGAGTGTTAGCCACTGGACCACTAAGGAAGTCCCAGTTCTGTAAGATTAATGTATCCACAAAGGAGTGATATCACCACAGATTAAAGGGTTTGTATGTTTTTTGTTATTTATTAGCTTGTTTTTAGTGAAAAACTTCAGGCTGAGTAGTCACATGTGTCAAAAGAGTGAACTTTCAGTATAATTTTCAGTGGAAATGAAAACTAAAATAATTCTTTTTCTATTCTTAAACCTCTTTGTCTTCTCCAGCTTCACAGTGATTTACTGTGTGTACATTTGAATTTATTAGCCTTAAATATGTTCCAAAGGGGATAGATTTTTCAACTAACCATGAAATAAACTTTCCAGCAATTTTGGGTAAACACCTTTCAAGATAAGTTAGTCAAAGTATATAAAAATTTGATGCCAAGTTCTTGATTCTCAGTATCATATATACTTAGATATTCAGTAAACTGTGCCAAGTTATACTTCTAATTGATTCCAGGACCAGTAGCAGAAGCACCCCAGTGTATGTAGCTGACATTAAGCTTTCTCATTGTAGTGTGAAAACCTGACTGACATTTGACTGCTGAGGCATCTGTTTCAGAGGTCCATTAGAACAAACAGCCAGCACCTGAGGACACAGCTGCTGGCTGCCATCAGGTAAGGAATAGGCCACCCTCCTGGAGGACTCCTTTCAGAAAGTCTAGGTGACCCACCTCTCCCTTCAGGCCCCAGGTCCCACGGAGGTGCTTTAAAGTCACCCACAAAGAGGGAACTGGAGTGACCCAAGATGCCCCGCCCTCAGACCCTGATAGAGGCTGATCGCTCTCTCCCTTTCCCCTCCCTTCCTCTTCCCCCTGCACCTGCTGCGCTGTGTACACTCAGATCCTGCAGGAACAACCCTTGATCCTCAGAATCCCCCAGTGCTTGTTGCTGAGGTGCCGCCTGGGATTCTAAGAACCACGAGGGCCGGCCCAGTGTCCCTGGAGTTGGGAGAACGTGTGAGGGCCCACTGTGAGTAAATGCAGGTGTGGAGCACTTCACATTCCCAGCCAAGCTCATCACCATCAGTGGGCTGAAGGACACAACACAGGCTGAAAGCAGATGTCCCCGCGGATGGGGACATATCACCACCAGCACAGGTAATTCCCTGTGTAGAGCAGTGGAGTCATCTTTTAAGAACAAGATGCACTATCGACTTAATCACCCTCACACCTCTTTCAGAAGTAGATGCTCTCCTAGTTTTGATTTTAAAAGTGAAGAAACTGAAGCTCAGAGTGGTGGAAGCTTTCCAAAAACACGGGGCGATCAAGTAGCAGAGCAGCCCTGAAAGCACCCCCACAACTCCACACAGACCTCAGCCTGGAGCTCTGTCTGCCTGAGATGAAGCTGCCCACTCCTGTGTTCATGTCCCTTTAGTAAGGGTGGATTTCTACACATCAGACTCAATTGTAAAGATAACTGGCTGAATGGTTACAATATCCCATCAGGTGAACAGACTCTCACCCAAGCTCCTCCAGGTTTGTCTCAGCCAGGGGACCACAGTGCTGGTCTCTGCACTGAGATGCCCGCCGCCTGCCTCCCACACTGACTCCTGTACAGAAGGCAGCCCTGGTAGACCCTATGCTCTCCCAGTGCCAGCTCACAGACTGTGCTCAGCCAGGTCACAGGGGAACCTTGGAGACCTTTTTAGTGTGAGAGTGTAGTCTTTATCCTTTAAACAAAAAAACCTGAAGTGAGTTAATTTCTGGATACTACTACTTACAGCTCCCTGAATTTATATATAGCTCATTGGCTCAGAAATTAAAAATAGGTTTTCTGGATACAGTTCAAATTAAAATTAATTTACTGTATGAGACTTTAGATCTTAATCTTCATCAGTGAGCTTCTTATCATTTAATAGTGTCATAAAGTAAAATTAGTGTCAAATAAATTCTATAGTTAAATGAAAATGAATACACATATTCTGACATGCAATTTAATCACTAAAAAAGGACTGAAATTTTATGCTAACACTTTTTCTTTGTATCTCATCTTCCAAACTGAATTTCTCTGGGAAATATCCTAAAATTTAAACTTGCTAAATGTTTAAAAATACACAGAATGAGACAGTTATGACATATGCATATATCATAAATATATTTATATATTGACTAGTTCATTCTAAATCCTGAAATGCAACCATTGGTTCTTCTCCAGACCCACCTTGCTGTCCAGGCTTTTCATGGTCAAGAGATCCAGCGTCTTCAGGGAGTGGCCTGTCGGGGAGATGAAGTAGAGGCACACGTGGACGCGGGAGTCATGGTAATTAAAGAGAGAGCGCTTGATCTTCAGCTCTTCTTGAAGGTAAGCTTCAAATTGAGCATCTATGTAGTCAACTATTGGTTGGTAGCTGAAAAAATATTTAAATATTTAATACAATATATTCATAGTATCTTGATAAAGTATTTGCATAAATTTAAAGTTTGAACTCTGTTTTTTCACTAGTGAACAAACAGTTGACTTCTATGCTAAACAGATAACTTCAGTAATAAAACAAATGTGCAAATGTGCAGGTACAGAGGCAGTACTTTGAAACTATCCGAACGACCTGTGCTTTAAATGATCTTACAGAAATGACCCTGAATGTGCCTCTCACACTCTTTCACACCTGGAGCTCTCTGGGATGGCTCCCCAAACCTGCCAGGCTGCTGAAGGAGGATAGGCATCTAATTGCAACCATGCTGGACATGGCATATTACCCTACACGAGTATCAGCAACCTAAAAGTTATTTAGGTCAAACTCCATGACTTCTTGTTCTGAAATTAAGTTTGTGTGGCGTAGAAGCATGAACGTGGTAAGGAAAGGGCACAACCACATGGAAGCATCCTAACCGGTGACTCAGGCACAGCTCCATTCTCGTTTATTTACCAGCAGAGGGAGGTCCGTCGCAGCCGACAGGCTTAGTCCTTGCCTGGATCCATCCTCCTGCCTCAAACGCCTGACCCCAACAGAAAGCACTGCCCTGGGGCTGCAGAGCCGCCCCTCGCCCTCTGGAAAGAACTGACCTGTGGGCATGTGAGGAGAGGACCCAAGACTACAGACATTTCCTATAACCACCTTGGTGGTAGATAGAAAACTACACATTTGTCAAAATTAAGTTGTACACTTAAACCAATGCATCTTATTTATTGTATGTAAATTTTACACATCAATAAAACTTATTTATAAACAAATTAGAATGGAAGAACAAATGCCATTATTTACAGACTATACTATTGCATACATAGAAAACCTAAACAAATTTATTAGAGATGCATTAACTAGAATTAACCAGAGAACACACAGAAGTTTCTGTGTACAAGATCAATTATATTTCCACACATTAAATGGAAAATGCAGTATTTGTAAATGATATCATTTATGGGATCATCAAAAATACCAAATATCTAAGGATAAATTTAAGTAAAGCTTTACATAGTTCCTATATAGAAAACTAAAAAAAGGCCATGTGTCATGGGTCTTTGCCTCCTCCACTAATCTACTTCTTCCAGAAAGCCCACAAAAATTATTTCTTAAAATCTATAGCAGAACACACAAATGTGCTGAACAGGTTAAAACATAATGAGAGTCAGTTTTATAACGTATTTTCCCCCTAAAGCAAACTTTTAGGACCTAGAAAACTACCTCTAAAATAATGAAAATATATGAATTTCAAAAAGGAAAAAGAACGAACAGTCATTGCCCCAGTCTGTTTCCTCCTTTTATGGCTTAATTTTCATATTTAAGCCAAAATCATCTTTGTAATACCATAGGAGAAATAATGACAAAAAATAGTAACCTAATCAAAATATAAATTAAAATTGAATCATCACACCTTTCCTGCAATGCTTAATCTGGCTAATTTAGTTAGAACTTCACAAAAAAATTCATGTACCATGGATTTGGTGACTATGTATTTGCCATGTATGCCTTGTTTTTTTTCCTCAACAAAACAAGTATTGCCTGAAAATTAGTAAAAAATCACTTAATATACACCGAACTGTCATGTCAGGAAAAAATTAAAACTATTTTTGCTGCCATGCACACTTGAAAAATGTGATTCAAATTACTCTAAAGAAAATAGACAACTGGACAGAAAAATTTCAATTTGTTAACAAAAACAAATATTGCTTTATTATTTAAAGAATTTAAGTCTTGGAAGAAAGGCATGGGTTTCTACAGATTTAAATCAAATCAGCACACAGGGCAAGAAGGCAGATGTCCTGTAATAAGAAAAAACCTGTTTTATTACTAGAGGAAAGCACGTACCTCTCTTCTTTGTTTATTTGGTCACCAAATCCCACTGTATTCACAATGGTTAGTTTCAATCGAACGTTACTTTCCTGGAGTTCATATGTCTGTGCTTTAAGTCTAACATGTGGGTAAAAATGTGAGGATTCATGGTCTTCAAAATTAGTATTAAACAATGTGTCAATCAGCGTTGATTTTCCAATTCCAGTCTCCCCTGAAAGAAATGCAGGTACATATTCATATTCACAGGTGCACAGGATGGATGAAGAACAGAACAGTAAACTCTTATAGTGATTTGGTTTCACGAATCCCAAATATTTCAAATATTTCAAAGGCTGGATTGTCCCTGAAAGAAGTACATGCTAAGGTGGTTCATTCTAAGCTGAGCATAAAAATGAGTCCTGTATGCTGAGTTACTCAGAACTCTAAAGAAGGCATTGAAATGTTTAAAGAACAAAGAGAAAGCTTAAAGCAGCACAGCTAAGAAAAAACTGATAAAATTTAAATAACTGAAAAAAATCTGTACTCGTGCTCTCAGGTTGCTCAGATGGGCACCATACTGCCCATCCCAAGAAGGAAGTGAGCACAAGAGCAGGACGAAAAAGTCTGGACAGGCTGGGCACTTACCCACACAGAGAATATTAAAGCAGAAGCCTTGCTGGATTGACCTGTTGACCAGTTGATCAGGCAGACTCTCAAAACCAACATGGCCAGACATGGTTAAAGAACGAGGACTTTCTTTTTGCTGCAAGAAAACAAAAACAGTGTCAACAGTTTTTTAAAGTTTTACTGAGACAGAACATAGGCACATTGGAAAGCACAGACATAATTTATCAAAAAAACTAAAGACTTTTTCGATCATTATACCTCCCCCAGGATACAACTGGTTTGTGAGAAACCTGTGTCCAGACCCTTAAAACATGTATTTCTTATTATCGTCCTATGATGACAGCCTGATACCATTTATAACATTAAAATATTTGATTTCCCCACATAGGAAAATACTCACACTATGGCATAATCACATTTCACAAAATGGAGTGTGGTGTGTAATAGTCATGAAAGATGTTTATGATGAATTTTAGATATAAATTGTCACATTACAATGTCAACGAAAGAGTACAGCACAAAGTTACAGATGGAGTTCCAGCTCACAGTCGTGGCAGAGTAACTTACGTCACACTCACCTCCTTTCTGGTAAGTTACAGTCAGTTCCCTCAAGTCACTGCAACCAAAGGCAGAGCGACTGTGGAGTGAGGGACACACCTTGTAGCTTCTCCCCTGAAGGCAGACCCAGCCACTGCTGTACAAGCAGACAGCTCAGGAGGCAACTAGTCTTACTGGGTTCAGAAGCCAGTGGAGACAAGGGCAGGCAGGTCAGCTGAAAGGGGAAATTCCAGAAAGGAGGGAGTCCACAGTCGGCACACACACCCCTCAAGTCTTTGGCTGAGTGCTGACCTACACATGAACAGGGAAATGGGAATTGGAATGGCCAGCCTGGGGAGCTTAGACTTTGTCTATACGTTAAAGGACTCAGTAAACACATGAAAACCTACATGGGCCTCATTTTAGGAGTAAGGATCACATCCCAGAACTCAGAAAACTTCCCTCGTGCTGAAGGCATAACTGAAGTAGACCTGCTGCAACAGAGATGAGTGTGACCAGCCAGTGACTCACCTGTGCCTGCTGGACCAGAGGCCAGCACTCCTCAGAAGAAGACAGAGTCCAGCACCTCTACAGTGTGTACCCACAACACCTAACTGTGCAATCAAAGTACTACACAGAAAGAAGCAAAACACATTCACAGTCAAGGAAGAAGAAAACAGTCAACAGAACAAGATCCACATAGAAGCCACATGTTGAACTAGCTGGTAAGAACTTTAACTCTGATAAATATGTTAAAAAGAAAAATGTTATCTTTCTCTACAGAAGAGATACATATGACAGGTGACGTGACAGGGAATTATAAGAGAAAGAAGAAAGCTCTCAACAACAACAAAAGGTGACAAATGAAATTCCTAGAATGGGAAAATGCAACATCAGAAATAAAATAGTATTAACAGCAGATCAAACAATGGAAGAAATTCTTGTTCAATATCATATTCATGCTAAATATCTCTGTCCAAGCTAAAAATCTCTCATTGAAAAGATAAAACTATAACAGAGTCTAAAAATACTGGCACAATATCAAATGGTCTAACACACCTACAGTGGGAATGCTGGATAGATAAGAGATGGGAGCAGGGGATAGAGGATGGAAACTTATAAGTAATAGTGACTGATAATATTCTCATTGTTTCAGCATGAACTCAGAGATCCAAGAACTTCAGCAAACTGCAAACAAACAAAAGCAAAGGAATCCACAGCCAGGCACATCAGAGCAAACCATTTAAAAGTAAGAACGGAGAAAGATCTACAAGCAGCCAGGGGTGGCAAGACATATTACAGACAAGTAAAACATAAAATGATCACAGTATTGGCATAAAAAACTGTGTAAACCAAAAGACAACAGAACAACATCAGTAAAATGCCAAAAGTAAGAAAATGACAACTCAGGATTCTTTATTTTTCCAAAATTTGTTTATTTCTTTATGGCTACACTAGGTCTTTGTTGCTGGGTTCTCTCTGGTTGTGGTGAGCAGGGCTACTCTCTAGTCATGGTGCAAGGGCTTCTCATTGCAATGGTTTCTCATTGCAGTAGCGTGGCGTACAGGCTTAGTTCTCGGACCAAAGGATCAAAGTCCTGTCCCCTGCACTGGCAGGCAAATTCTTAACCACTGGGCCACCAGGAAAGTCCCTGACAACCCAGAATTCTGTATCCAATGAAAATATCCCTCACAGGTGAGGGCAAAATGAAAACATCTTCACACAAAATCTAAGAATTTTACTGTAAGGAGGCCTTACCTGATAAGAAATATTAAAAATTCTCAAGAGAAAGGAAAATGACAACAGATGGAAACTCATCTACAAAAAGGATGAAGATTGTCAGAAAGGTAAAAATATGGGTAAATACAGGAGAATTTTTTGCATGTTTTAATTTCTTGAAAATATAGATTGACTGTTTAAAGCACTAACAACAGTGTGATGCAGGACTTATGATACGTGGAGAAGCAGGATACGTGACCACGACAGCACAGAAGATGGGAGGGGAGGAGTCACCCTGCTGTAAGACTTATACACTGTCCATGAGTTGCCATCACACTGCTCAAAGGCACTGAGGGGTAAGTGAAAGCCCACATCAACTGCTGTTTAAAAAAAAAGAAGTTTAGCTAGTAAGCCAAGAATGGAGATAAAATGCAACCATAAAAATACTCCATTAATTCAAAAGGAGGCAGGAAAATAAAAAAATAAAAGAATAAATGGGACAAATAGGAAATAAATGGCCATTTGGCCATTTATGAAAGCAGCCGTGTTTGTAGTTACAGGGAAGTGGTCCCAGCTAGCTGTCCAGTAGACCCTTCCGTGACAATGCCAAGCTGCCAGAGGATCCACTAGCCACATGCAGACATGGCACACCCGGTTGTGACACATACAACTGAGGAAGGAACTTTCAAATTTTATTTAATTTTAACTAATCTAAATATCCAGGTGTGGCTAGTGGCCACCATACTGGCTAGTTAGTGGCCACCATACTGGACAGTGCAGGTCTAAGCTTTTCAAATAAAAGGAAATTGTCAGACTGGATGAAAGAGCAAGACCCAACTCTGTACTGTCAATGCAATAACAGACAAGCTCATTGTAAAATTTACATGGGAAGCCAGAGGACTTAGCATCGCCAAAATCACTGTGCAGAACAAGCTGAAGGATGCACACTACCTAGTCTAAGGCCGCAGTTACCAAGTAGCGTGGTGTTGTGACTGTCTACTACTTACCTACAATTTAACAAAGAGGAGGGGCTGGAGAACATGAGGACTAAACAGTGAGCACTCAGTGCACCAGTCACCGAGCAATTACAGTAGATTCAGTAAAGCAACGTGTCAGAAGGCAGGTTAGGAGTAATTCAGAAAGTCTATGAGGTGGTAAAATAAAGATGGATAGGCTACTTTTACCAGTAAGAGAGCAAGAATGAACAAATCACCATTTATCAAAACTATGGGGACTTCAGTATGTGTGGAGGAAGAGAAGAGACTACAGAGCACAGAACTGTAGGAAACCAATCGTGATCACCTGTGCTCACGTTTGCAGTTTTCTTTTTTAAAAAACAACTCACCTTGTTCACCAGATTAAATTTACCTCCTCTCTTTTTAAATAACTTTTTACTAAAAAACTACCAAAACCCATCCTCCTGCACAAGTACATTCAGAATCCCCTTGGAACCATGAAAGTCTGACGCTGTGCTCAGGAAGGCCCCTTCCTACAGGGCCATCCCATGGCACCATGCCTTGTCATCACCAAAGTCGGTGAGGATGCCTGCCAGAGCAGGGCCAGCTCCCCCGACTGCTGTGGCAGAGGTGGAACCTGAATCTGCTTAACATCAGGCAGGGTAGAGACACTGTGGCCACTCAACAGTGATTCAGTTCATTACTGATTTTGAACTTGGATCAACGTTCACAATTAATTCATATTCAAGGTGAGTACCAACAACAGTCTGTCTAACCGCATCCTGAAACCACAGAGGCATCCACAATACAAGGTGAGTCTACTTAAGAGACATACTCACTTTCTGTTCATGGTCAGATACTTGTGAGGACGTATGAGCTGTTTTTGTTGTAATGTGAGACTGAAAGAGCTGAAAAAGAAAACACAGATGTTACTAAAAAAAAAACACCTATATCTAAGTAATATATTAATAGTTATATTAAAAAGTAATTCTAGTATTGTCATTATCACCAGGCTTTGACTTGTGATCTACACAAGGTTTTCTTGCTGGAAGGATATCTGCAGAGGTCAGTACCATGTGATAGTCAACACATGATACACATTATTGCACTTACACCTTCACTCACAAAAATGTAAAAGTTATCATCACAGAACCCCTGCTATAGCCATCCCCAGGCTAATGGGGCCCAAGCAGCTGTGGGGTTCTCAAAGTAACGCTGCCTCAAGAACACTCCATCCTGGCATGTATCACAGGACATGGAGAAAACATGTCCTTTTTAAAAAGTAACAGTACCATGGATGTAGTAAGAAAAAGCGCAAACAGTGCCGGTTGAGAACAGAGAGCAGACTAAGTTGCTTCCTCCCCTGACCCCTGCAAGCTGGCAGTTCTCTCCCCTGGGGGTAGAGGCGGCCTGGAGTGCAAATGCACAGTGTCTGTGGCTCATGACTGGTAATCTGCAGTGGTTGTCCTTCCCACCTAATCTGTGGTGGGGACCACGTCAGCAGAGCTTGAGCTACCCCCCTCCCTTCCTCCCTCTCTCCCAGGACAGTGCCTCTTCTGTAAACTGCACAACATGCAGATGCACCATCTTTAACTGCAACAGCTGCACTGCAGTGAACAGCAGCTTGCCTAGACGTGGGACTAAGGGGAACCTGATGCTGCGGCAAGGGAGGGCTATGTGTGGCACCTTGAACCCCAACACATGGGGCAGCCAGGACTGCATTCTACAGAACTCTAATGACCCCTTCCCATGGTACTTTCTGGGCAACGTGAGCTCTTGAAGGTGGGCCCTGGGACCTCACCAGGCACCTTGAGCAGCCAGCTGAGCGCACTGTGCCGGGAGTGGCTCTGTTCAGTGGGAATGTGCTGTGTATTAAGAGACAGCCAGGTCCCAGGGTGAACACAGGAACTGGTATATGTATAAGAGAATAGCACCTTGATACAAAGCCCACCAGAACTGGACTAGTGTGGCTTTAACTGTACACACACTGCCCTGACTTCCCCCACCCCTGCCACCATGTGTCACGTGAGCTGGAGCGCACACCCCCAGTCTGCGCCAGCACAGAGGAGCCGGAGCACTGGGAAGACAGCGTGGTCACGGCCACACACACAAGAAGGAAGACGACACTGCGCTGGCCCAGGAGACGCCAGCCTCAGGCAAGGCGGCGTTTAAGATTGAAAACATCTCTGAGCCCTGAGAGTGAGGTGGAGTATCTTATCTGGATAAAGTGAACCATCAGTAGAAGAGTTTGCTGGAAACAAAGGGCTCATCATCTCTTGTTGTGAAGTTATGAAGAAGCCAGAAGTGGAGCAGGGAGCTGCAGGATGAGGCCTGGAGTGTCCACCTGGGGTGGAACCTGCTGTCAGGACACCAGGCACCGTGGAGGGAAACCAAGCACAGCAGAGCCTCTGTGTCTGCCAGCAGCAGATGGGAGTGGGTGCTGCATGTCTACGGAGAAGGCACCCCACTCCAGTACTCTTTGCCTGGACAGTCCCATGGTCGGAGGAGCCTGGCAGGCTGCAGTCCATAGGGTCGCTAAGAGTCGGACACGACTGAGCGTCTTAACTTTCAGGTTTCACTTTCATGCACTGGAGAAGGAATGGTAACCCACTCCAGTGTTCTTGCCTGGAGAATCCCAGGGACGGGGGAGCCTGGTGGGCTGCCATCTATGGGGTCGCACAGAGTCGGACATGACCAAAGTGACCTAGCAGCAGCAGCAGCAGCTGCATGTCTAACTTAATTTTATCAACTACAGGACTCTAATGAAGATTAGTCTTTAAAAAACTACAATAAGTAGTCTTGGGTTTTTAGTATAATGGATAGCATACTGAAATTTTTGTGAAATGCTGCTTAGGAAGCAGTATCATTGATATATAAAATTTGCTTAGAAAAAATAAGGTTTTGTACTTCTTTATTATAAACTTTAAACTTTGACTAATAAAACCAAGGTTACATTTCTGTCATTTATATGAGTTCATATCAAGTATTCGCTTTTGTTCATTCATTTCCTGTGTTTCTGAACACCTGCCAGAAAGCCTACTTAAAATCTCTGTGGATAAATGGTTTGATGAGGAAGTACAAATGAGTCACATAAAACTATTATAAATAGTTGTTCTTAATATTTCCACTGGTACTACCTGGCTAGTCAGATTTCCAAAACAGATTTTAGAATGAAAACAGTTTTTAATAAATTAACAAAGAATTATTGAAGGTAAAGTAACAAGGGGACAAGAATTGACCCAGTGCACCTCTAGTGGTAAATCCTAAATTAAAAACCTGGAAGTGGAATTCCAATCTGCGCCACCACTGACTACCTTCTTACTATGTAAAAGCCCTGTGTTGGGAACAGGGTATCAGGAGGAAGACACGGCCCTTGATCTTAAGAACTAATCTTGGAGAAACACAGGCAAATGATTGACAGCTCTCATTTCAAGGTACAAGGGAGACTAACAGTCCCTATCTACACCTGATGACAGTTGGTAGCTTTTGTGTTAAATACATGCATCACAGATACACAAACACACATGTATTTAAATCTATACATCCACATCCTAGAAAGGAAGAATGCATACAGTACTTTTAACTTGGCCAAGTCTAACACATTTTTTAGAAGTTTTAGTATATAATGAAACACACACACACACAAAAAATGCCAGAACATTTGGGGGAAGATCAGGTTCTCCACCTTCTTCAAAGTATCAGCTTGGGGAGTGTGGGCAACACAACAGACGTGGCACGCAATCTGTTCTGGGGCCCCCTGAACATAGGTGGTAGGGACCATCTTCCTATCGGTCAATTACAGGAAAGCATTTGGTGATTCTTTCACAACAGGACCCAAGCTCTTCTGACCCTCCAGCAAACAGTCCTGTGACCGCCTGATAGCCTCTCTCTAGGCCTAACAATGAGCTTTGGATGAACAGAATTATGACTTGGGTTACAATTGCTTCATTTTACCTTCATGTTTCCACTGTTTATCTTTGTAAAGCCAATCCAAGGAACAGAACCAAAATATTCTAACTGTCCTCTGGTATTTCTTAGAGTTTAGTTCAAAAAAAAAAAAAAAAGAAATGAGCAGAGAGGTCAAAATAGTTAAACTGGATCTATTTTATGGGTTTCAATAGGTCAGGGTTCTTTGGCTTAAGATAGTACTTTGAAAAGTTCCACCAATGCATTATTTAAAATCATTTTATTAAATCTTCAGCTTAAATAAATGTTACTATGCTGATCTAAAATTTTCCTAAAACAAATAGTAAAATTACCTTATTCAGATTATGCAGAAGATGATTCTTGAAATAGATAATAATTACAACCAGGGAAAAAAGAGAGAATCCAACTGAATCAGTAAGACTTGACACAGGAGAAGCAGTGTGTTGGCCTTCTGTCCCCCAGAGGACAGGCTTGGTCAAGGACAGCTCAAAGTAGGCCAGGTTCCATCAAAATATCACTTCAGTTTTACCATCTCCAGTACACACATAAAGGTAACTACAAAGTTTGATATGCAGCCTCAAAATATCATCGAGACAGAAAAATTCTTGATAGTAATTCATAATGAAGAGATTTTAAGCCCCCCCCCCAAAAAAAAAACCTTTACAGTAATGTGTATGTAAGGGTTAAAATATAAATGAAATTTTATTTTGAAATTACTTTCCTCCCTTAAGTAGAAAAGGAATAGTTTGTGTATTATAGAAAAAAATACCCTTTCTAATAACTGCATTACTGTAGTAACAGTACAGTGAACATCCTTCTGTGGCAGCCAGAAGGTATGCCCCTCAGACTGTCCCTCCAGCAAGCACCTGCAGGACCGGAGCCCAGACCACTCCCTCCCAGGCAGTCCTAGCCCAGGATTGAGCAGAGTAGGGGGGTAGAGGGGTCAGGACCTAGACCCTTCTGCCCTGTGAAGGCTGCCCTGGCAGGTACTGGACTGGCCCAGACTCTGCCAGGTCTGCATGGCTTGTGAGCCTCTCCCTGTGAATTCTGCTTCCTCCCCTTTCTCCTCCAGGGCCTGACACCGCTTCCACACACAGCCCTCTGTCCCCCACAGAGGTTCCTCCTTGATGTCAGAAGGCGGCAAAATGTGGTAAATGCCAGAGAGGGGCACAACCCAGAGCTGTCAGGGCAGCAATGGGGGCAGAGTTTCAGCAAGGTGCAGATCAGCTCAGCAGAGAAAGGACAGGCTTGTGCCAAGAGAACTGGACTCCTGCATGCAAAAAAAGCCCTCCACATCCAGTTACCTCAAAACAGATCATAGGCCTAAAAACTCTAGAAGTATAAAGTCTTCGTGGCCTTAGGCTTAGGCAAAGATGTCTTAGATACGAGAAGCGTGATCCACAAGACAAAAAAAATGACAAACTGAACCTAATAAACTAAAAAACCTCTGCTCGTCAAAGTACAGTTAAGAGAATGAAAAACCAAGACACATACTTGGCTAAAAGATTTATAAGTCATTTATCTCATAAAGGACTTATGTAAGAAATTATATATTTTCAAAAACTTGTACAACTAGAAACAAAATAACTCAGTTTTTTAAAAATGCAGAAAGATTGGAACAGACGCTTCACCAAAGATATAGGGATGGCAGATAAGCACACAGCAAGAGAATCAACATCATTAGTCATTAAACAAATGCAAATGAAAACACAAGGTGTCACTGCATGCCTACCAGAATGACCTAAAAAATTATCTGGCAAGGATGCAAAGCAATTGTTAGCGGGAATGCAAATTCTAGCACAAACATTTTGGAAAACAGTTTGGCAGTTTCTGAAGTTAAAACACACAACATACTCAGCAATCCCACTCCTAGATCATCAGCCCAAGGAAAATGAAAACTAATACTCAAATAAAAACCTGTATGTGAATGTATGTCTACAGTAACTTTATTAAAAACTGTTAAAAACTGGAAACAGCCCAAATGGTCTTCAAGTGGCAAATGATGA